TAACCTAAAATATAGTCCCTAGATACATACAAGCCCTACAAATCGAGGATAAATTCTCACAACTTTAGCCTTTGGGCAAGAAGTCTTACAAATTCGACATGATTTTTAATGCATTAGAGAACGATTTATTCATCTATTTTTACTTATATGAACTTATCTTATCTTATCTTATTTGAATTAGTCTGAATTTACATTAGTTGTATTTTTTTTAGGGTATTTTCATTTTTACCACCTTCAAATAATGACTTTGTCGAATTTACCACCTCCAAAAAAAAAAGATTTACTTTACCACCTCATAAAAAAATAAAACATCAGTTTTACCACCAATCACCTCCAACTAACGGATTCCGTCCATAAATCCGTTAGTGGGGCCTACCTTGCACACGTGTCGCCATATTATTGGGTAAGTTTTAAAAAAAAATTAAAAAAATCCCCATTAATCAACCGGTGTTGCTGCCACCGTCAGGACCCCCACCGCCGACCAGCCACGACCAGCCCCCACCACCTAACCGCTACGACCAGCCCCCACCACCTAACCGCGACCAGCCCCACTACCGCACCGCACAGCCACAACCACCTTTCCACCAATTTTTCTTTATTTTTTTGCTCTGTTTTCTCGAAAGCCACAACAATGGCGTCTCTTCCAATGGAGTTAATCACCTCCATTCTTTTCGATTACCCACTAAATCACTACTTCGCTTCAAATGCGTTTCCAAGGCTTGGCATTCCTTAATCAATCAACAACACCCATTTAATCATACTTCATCTCGCTCATTCTCTCTCCTCTGACCGTCGTCTTCTTATCCTCAACCATGGAAGTCACCTGGAATCGACTCCATTGAAGTGGGGTTCTGAGCTTGATGCTAAAAACGATTGACAAGGTTTGATTTACCCAATTCTTTTTCTGGTTTTGAGGTTTCGATTTGTGGGTATTGTAATGGATTAATTGCTTTGGTTTGTAGAAATGTTGATGATAATCGATTTGTATCCTTGTTGTTGGTGATTTGGCTTCTTAGTTTTTGGCAGCCACCAAATCCCGACCACCCATAAATCCCCTTCTAATTCCGACCACTCTAAAAACCCTAGCCACCACCAAATTTCGCACTCCTAAAACCCTAACCACCACCTAATTCCGACCACCTCCCTAACCCACACACCAAATTCCGGCCCCTCCTTAGTCACACACGAAATTCCGACCAACCGAGGTAGTTGATTTCGTTGCTGGTTGGTTTACACGGAAGATCGGGGAAGATGAAGAAGAAACGTCAAAAAGGTGGGCCCTACTAACGGATTCGTGGACGGAATCCGTTAGTTGGTGGTAAAATCGATTTTTTGGAAATTTTGTTGGTGGTAAAGTAAATCTTTTTTTTTTGGAGGTGGTAAATTCAATTAAGTGGTTATTTGAAGGTGGTAAAAATGAAAATACCCTTTTTTTTATTTTTTTTTATTTTTTTACAAAACAGTAGTTGTAACTTAAATTTATGTAACCCTTATTATCGCTTATCAAAACTTACTTGAACTTATTTAATTTGAATCTATCTTAACTTATTAATTTTTTTTTTTTTTTTTGAAACTAAATTTATTAATTCTTATCTGTACTTATTTTCCTGAAATCAGAGAAAGTAAGATGAATAAAATAGAATCTTAATGAGAAAAGGGCGTCATACCACGGGAAAAGCTAATAGATTTAGGGTATGGATAATGAGAGTTCAGAACAAAAACCCATCTACATGTATTTTTTGACAACCCCCATCTACATGTAGGCTTGCGGCCCAATACTACAGATTAAATCAAACAAAAAGTTTAAGAAGTGTATTAATTAAATGTTCAATGATTATTGGTAGTGCTTCCTAAAAATAACACAAAAATAAGGAAACTATGATTGATTTATTGGTCCCGTAAAAGGGTCTAATAAGATTATCCAATTGCTTATATAGTCGAGAGTCGTCAAACATTTTGGCCGCTAAATCGTATGGATGTAACAGAGTTCATGTGCCCACAATACCCATTCCAGCAGAAAGTTTTGTAATTTCTTTGTCAATCAATTATTTTGTCTTTCAAGCAATTTTTGACCAAAAAGTGTAATTAGTAGGAACTAAGTCATAGAGTATTATATCAAGCACTTGTAAGTTGTTTGTTTAATTTACTTGTTAATCATCATCAATTGAGTCCAATTGAGTAGATTCTTCACTTTTTGACTCCCATCAGTGTAAATTAAAACTATATTGAAATCCAAACTTTTATTAAAAAACAAGGTATTATAGTCGTGGGTTGATTGTAATGGTGTGTAATATCAATATAATATAAACAACTCGTGCATACATCAACAATGTAAATGGATGTGTCAGCTAGGGTTTGATGACTTAACGATTGATCAAAACATTTTAATAGGACCTCAAAATGAAAGTTGGTGATTGGAACAATCATTATGACAAAATTTCGAAATAGCCATACATGTGAACCAAACTCATTCTTGAGACTTTATATTTTGGTAAGCCTATTATGGTTTCAAACAAACTTTTATGACCCCGAGGGATGTCCTTTATATCCACTTCAATTTTGAAAATTTTTAAAATTGGTCCAAAAGTGTGAATTATACTTTTTAATTTTGGACAATTTTACTTTCTGGGCTTGAAAAGGAAATAGGACACAGTGTTTGACCCCATGAGACCTTGGGAGGCCATTTGAGTAGTTGAAACCTTCCAATTTGTCTTTAGACTATCAATATAGCTAGTTACACAAACACCTCTCTTCATTGGAAGGCCGTCAAGGGCCTCTATGTGACTGAATAGTGGCTGTATATGATTCCAAACAACATTATACGACCTGGGGATACATCCTCTACCATCCCTTAAGTTTTCGATACTAGGTCTTGAAATTTCCGAAAGTGGTTCATTTACGTGAATTATATAGTCTTCAACTTTAGCCTTTGGAGAACATTTCGAATCTAAAAAGTCTAGCATTGAGGTGTTTCTCATGATTCCCAAAGGGACAAGTGAGGCCTACTTGGTGTTTGGAATTGCAAATCATCTCATTCATGTCTTGGTCTACCCCACACTATATATCATGTCTTATGATGTCTTAGCTTAATTACCTTGTTGATTGGCCTTGCCTTGTCTTGCCCTACTTTGCCTTAGCCCTAAGGCTAGCCATATATACGACTTTGTACTTTTCATTTATTTAAGGAAAAATAAGTTCATATAAGTATAAGTTTAGTAACATCACATTCAGTATAAGAAAAATAATGGCTAACCAAAATCAATTTGCAACTAAACTAAGTAGTAATAGCTACACTAAGTTCAGGAAAAATTAGTTTAGATTAGTTTAGATAAGTGATGTTTAGATTTTTGGTTAATAGAATGCATCTGTATTAGACATCTTCTAACTAATTCCGAAAGTATAATCAAAGTGAATCCTTTCAATTCAAAGCTTACTCGAACATGCACGAGGAAACATATATGGAGTATATAGGTATATGCAATACAATGTTGTTTTTTACTCCGTATTATTTTTACCTTTAAGATATAAAGGTTAAAAGAAAATAAAAAGATAATAGGATAAACAATGTTGTTGGGATTAATATTTATATGTGGAAATGAAAACTGCAATTCTAGAAAGGTCAGACAAATTAAATACGTAGTAGAGAGGTCATCAAATTGAATACCAAGTCTAGTTCTTGCTATATATAGGGGCGAGTCCTCAATAGATGCATTACTACATGAAAATGTAGCAGCTAAAATTAATATGATAGTTTATGATTATGTGTATAAATTGTGCTAATTATTTACTCTTGTAAGCAGTTGAAAATATAAAAAAACAAATTAGGATATTCAAAGTGTTTACTAATTATTTTATTTGATAAAAAAATTCAGCTCCTGATTTTGAAATGCTAGTCGAAGTTTCAAGCCATTTTCAACTTCTTAAATATTAAACTTATTTGTACACACTTGTTACCTGCTAATAAACACGTCATAATATTGTATAAACGAAATGTTAATAGTCTATTAGAATTCACTTATAATAGAAGTAGTTTGGTAATTGTACAATGGATTAGATTTGCTATATTTTGATGTCATGCTAAAGGCGCATTTGTGATCAAAACAATATTTAATCTTCATTTGAGTATTAATTATCGTTGGCTATTTAATAAAATAGGTTAGGCATGAGTTTTATCATGCCTAATGTAATAATATTATTGTATTGATGCTTAGTTGCTTACCATATACTCCGTATTAATTATTAATTAAATCTAGTTAGTTAAGTGAGAATACACACCCAATTTCTAATATGGTCAATCGTTGAACAAGTGAGATCATGCATGTATGATGTTGTGCAAAGAGCAACATAGGGTTACATTCAAGTATAGTTTTAACATTGTAAGGAGCCACGTAATTGAACTGTTTAGAATATATAGTTGTATACTTGTGTATTCAAACCATGCATGAATGGTCTATATATGAAACTATTAACTAATTTTTAAAAAGCAAATATTATATATTAATATATATTAAGTTTAATTTAATGAATAATGAGTAGATGATGTGCATGTAGTGTACTTAAATAATTCTAAATGATTTCCTTAAAAAATAAATTCTAAATGACTTAGTTATGAAGTACTTTGTTTCACAATACAAGCCTTAATTTGATTGTGACAATTTCCAACGAAATATCTTGAGGATTCTTGACCCTTTATAAGTTTAATTAAACAGAGTGTATTACTCCATAGAATGTTTCTTAATAAAATTGATATTTCAACATAATACTTTGTAATATAGTAACTTAAAAACAATTAATATAATATCATTTAATGAAGTCAAAGTTAGTATGTACTAATAATAGTGGAAAAATAATAGTGCATGCATGTATTGTAACATGGAGGAATTGAAATTATATTGGTATTAGACAATCTAAAATATTGAATTTTTCAAGAACCAAATCCATGTTTAACTTTATTTTCTTTGAAGATTATAACTGAATATGATGACTTGCTTTATTAAGTTAAATACATTTACTTATATCAAATTTTGCTATTGTAAAAGTGAGAGTAGTAAGTTTTAAATGACTACTAATACAAGTAATTAGCCATTAGTTAAACTGATTCATACAACCAGTCAGTCAAATCAGTTCATACAAACAACTAACGGAATAACGCCTAAACTCTTGATACCAAACAGATCTTAACTATTATTAAAAAATTACTCAAACAAAATGGACCCCAAATATATGTTGTATAGTTAGCCTATGAATGATAAACATATATGAGAAGCAAGAATACAATAAACAAGGGCAGAAGAAATAATCTCGAAGCATGAGCTAATTGCATACAATTGCAAAGTCTCAATTTACATTACAAAACCAACTTTCAGTCTTCTTCCCAGTCCACCGCCTCAATATCTGTGTTCTATTTCAACCTCACCCTTTTCCCTCTCTCTCTCTCTCTCCTAACTTTTCAACCTTCATTTTCCAAGAATATATATTCAAACAAATAAATATATAAAACTATTTAATTTTATATTTTCAAACAATTAAAAATCACCTACAAAAGGGCTTATAAAAATTTGCTGTACTACTTTGAAAAAAATTAAGATTTTGGGAAGACAAACACTTTTACATCAACCCAAGAAAAAAAAAATGGATTCTTCTGGCACACCATCCCCAGATCATAGTTGGCTTGCATTTTCTCTCTCCAACCAATATTATCATCCTCCTTCTACTTCATCTCATCACCCTCAATCTCAACAACAACAACATCAACAACAACACCATCTTTCCCTTTTTCAACAACACCCTCATCTTTTTATTCCACCTCCTCAATCTGGTTAGTATATACTCATGTTTCGGAACAACTTTACTCCCTCAGTTCGCCTATTCTCATTTCAGTTCGCCTATTCTCATTTTACGGTGTCATTAAATGGGACAAGTAAAATGAGACTATGAAAAAAAAGTATTGTTTTTTCTAGTGTTACAGTAACACCTTGTAACGTGGTACAACTTTGTTCCGGTATCACGTGGTGTTACTGTAACACTATACTACTGCATCCAATTTTTTAATTTATACTAACTTTTTTTTTGGGTGTTAGTTGGTGATGGTGCAAGTGGTGCTCGTACGAATAATAATAACCACGAGTTATCCTTCCTCGGCGTGGGTGGCGGGTTGTTGCAAGTGGAGTTGTTTCCGACTGCGGAAGCGGTGACAGTTGCTAGTAACGGTGGCGGTGGCGGAGGCGGTTACGAGCCGAAAGATAACTTGTTTGATGGTTCTGAATATCAACAACAACAGCAACAAGTGCAAGAAGTTGATCATAGCCTAGTTAATAATAATAATAATAATATTAACAATAAACAAGTTGCTGTAGTTGCTGCTGCTGCACCTCCTACAAGTTCAAGTAATAGGAAAACTGTTGAAGGGTTTGGCCAAAGAACTTCCATTTACCGTGGTGTAACTCGGTAACTATTACTACTAAAAGTCTAAAATTATGTGTTACAATTTACCTAAGTGGGTAATTTTTTTGGTAGAGGGTGCATTATCTTAAATTTTAATATGTACGACATTTTAATAAGTGTACAAAATTGTTTTATTGGACCAAAACGTTTAAGTGTCTTATGTGAACACCTAGCCATGTCGGCTTAATTCTTGTGCTCTCTCTATTCGAATTTAATTAATACGTAGTACTTGTAATCACGGCATATCATCTCAGTTGATGATGTAGTTTATTTGAACTAGTGACGTGATAACTAAAATTAGATGTAGCTAAATTAGAGTTGGAATAATCTTTATATATTTTGTTATAGGCATAGGTGGACAGGGAGATATGAAGCTCATTTGTGGGATAATAGCTGCAGAAGAGAAGGCCAAAGCAGGAAAGGCCGTCAAGGTAATTTCATTCTTCCCGTATCTTTTCAATAATATATTATCACATTGTCCCAACCTTCATCGTTAAATATTACAGTATATGAAGTACGGTTTTAGTCTAAACTGCTTGTATAGTAACAGTTGAGTCGTTCTCGATTTCGTTTTGTCACCCAAATTTAGTAAGAATATTACAATAAAACCATTCAATTATCAACATTATTATTAGGAAACGCGATGATTTCCTAACCATATGTATGTGACTATAATTTATAAATAATTGTTACAAATCCACTTAAAAAAGTAAGTAACATGAAAGTGGTGAATAAGCCCGAATCTATGTTTCATGTGTCGGAAATTGTGTGCATAAAGCGGGTATTTTCTGCATGTACTTTTTTGACCACGTTGTTTTTAGGCTTATATCCTGTTTGTGTTTTGACCAAACATTTTCCACTTATAGAAGTCCCAATTAGTTATTCAAATTTCTTTAATAGGCCATTAAGAATTTAAGATTCAAGGATACATTCACGAAATACACCCACCACACCCTTGATCATTAAGGAACATTTATAGTGGGAACGAGCGGAGCCAAAGCAAAGCAAGTTATAGCGGTGGGTTGTCTTCATGGTGTAGCTATTTTATGTGAACATGAGAACTTCATCCTTTAACTTACACTGTATAATCGAGTTATATGTAGTATGAGTAATATATACGGGGTAAATCATATGTAAGATAATGAGTAATTACTATTGAATCTTGAACGTGTGTACCAAATAATAGCAATTAAAAGGTGATTTTGAGGCTGGTAATTTGTAGTCTTGCAAAATCGATTCATTGGAATCCAAACCCTATTTTCACTCAAAATAACTTTAGTTCGTTTTTAACCCAACCCCAATTGAATATGAAAATTGGCTTTAATTTGCTCAGATAAACTTAATTGGTTATTTTTTTTCCGTTTCATAATAACCGTAAAAGTTTGGCTGCACAACTTTTACCATTATTATTTGTGATCATATGTTAGTATGTTAGATTGTTAGTAATAAAAGGCATAAAAAGGTTAATATAATGAAAGTACAATTTATGTAAAATCATTCGCTATCCATTGGATGACTTGGTTATAAGTATTTAAACCAATCATATGGAGTATGGACTATATACAAAGTATAGAACACATGCTAAATTTATTTGATTGATACAATAAATAAATCAAAGATTTGTGGAAATAAAAACCTTCATTTTTTTTGCCTTTTTCAGGCTATTCTTTGTGGTACCTCTAATAATTAAATGGCTAGCTATCCTATACATGATCCATTGTGTTAAATGTGAACAAATATCACTAAATATCTTTCAATTATTTATTTAATTCCTGATATTTATTTAATTTCTGTTGGTTGCTTCTCTATTTATGGTGCCGTGGGTTACGTGCCGAATGATTGCTGATATGGGCGAACATGTTTCATCATTTCTTCCTGTTACAGTGTACTTAGGTGAGTTTTTTTTTTCTCTACTTTATATTTGTTCTAATTAATTCTTGCCATTTTTTAGACTAATTTTTAAAATGCATGCATACTAGTTATTAACTTGAATTATATTCAGTAATAATGTTAATAGCAATATTTACTTTTAATTACGTAATCGACTAGATATCATCTTGATATCTACGGAGTAATTCTATTCCTTGCTAATTCGAGTATAAGTTAGCCTAATGCATCCTTATTGAGAATAATGTCGAGTAGAAAATATGACACGTCATGAACTTGACTTACCTTGAAGGAAATTTAAATTACGAAGTACTATAGTGGAAATTAATTTTTTTCCGTCCCTAATCATTTTCCTTTTTTTTCTTCTTCTAATATTCGGGTTTATTGTAAAAACTCTGGATTACAGATTATTACTAGTGTTTCCTTGGCATTTTCGTTCCATATTGTCTCTACATGTTTTAATGTTAACGTAAAGATTTTATGTTTTCTCTTTAGAAGAAAAGAGATCATGTCAAGGCATGTTATGTAAATCTGTATCATCTCAATTATTTAGTTTAGAAATAATTCATCAATCATTTTTCAAGTGTATCTTGTAATTTGTTATTATTATTTTGCATGGATCAGTCAATCTTTACGTGTTCTTCCTGCAAAAGAAGTTGCACAAAATCTTTATGAAATCTCTGTTATTTTAATTGAATATATATGATCTTAACAACTTAATTATGATTTTGCATTATCTGATATTTTATCATCCTATTTTATTAGGTGGATATGATAAAGAAGAGAAAGCTGCAAGAGCATATGATTTAGCTGCCCTTAAATATTGGGGTCCAACTACAACCACAAATTTTCCAGTATGCACATTTTTTTTTAATTATTGTACTATGTTATAACATTAATCTTTTTTTTCATCTTTTTCCACTATATATGACATTATAAATTAGGCGAAATACATAAGAAATTACCTTTTTCTTTTCATACTTGGTAACTTTATACCAATTAGATATCGGACTATGAGAAAGAGCTGGATCAAATGAAGGATATGAGCAGGCAGGAATTTGTGGCTTCACTGAGAAGGTGATAATTTAGCCATTTTAAATTTTTCTGTGTTTTAGGATTAATGAGGAAATTCATATTATATTTGTCATTTTTACCAATTGTGATTTTATTTACAGGAAAAGTAGTGGATTTTCAAGAGGAGCATCAATGTACAGAGGAGTCACAAGGTATGACTATTTTTTAGCATCTTTTGTTTGTCTCTGCATTAGGCTATTAGCCAATCATTCTTCCATCTTCGTTCGTTTCTAAATAATATGCTACATTTTGTTAAAATTTGGTTCTACTTATTAGAGCTATAATAACCTTTATGTTTTTAAAAGTATAATTTTATATATACATAATAAGATATTGTTGAGGGTGTCATCAAATGCGTAACATGGGAAAGTTCAAATTTTTCTCAATCTAGAATTTAAACTCTGTTTTTGGACGGTCTACTAGAAAGTGTGACATCAATTAGGAAAAAACGTAGTATTATAAATATGGTTACGCATTAGAGCGTGTACACATACACGAATATATAATTGGATTATTTGGATACGTATGACAAGACGGTTAAATTAACTAATGTAACAATTTGTTGTGTGTATTTATTTGTACGTATTTTCTCCCGTGTAACATGCGTGTATGTACTAGGCATCATCAGCATGGAAGATGGCAAGCAAGGATCGGAAGGGTAGCCGGAAACAAGGACTTGTACCTTGGAACCTTCAGTAAGCTCGCGAAACTAATTAATTTGCGAATATTTTTGTACATACATGATACGCCCTCTAATTAATTTACGATTTTTTTTTTGTATATACATGATACGGAGTACACGTTTTTACGTGATTGTGTTATTTGTCATTGCTAGGTACTCAAGAAGAGGCTGCTGAAGCCTATGACATAGCAGCCATAAAATTCCGGGGCCTAAATGCGGTGACAAATTTCGACATAAGCCGTTACGACGTGAAGAGCATAATTTCGAGCAACCTTCCTGTGGGCGGTTTGTCGAATAAATCAAAATCGTTACCTGATCACGAAGAAATCAAAACCCTCAAAGCCATCAAGCCAGAGTTGCCACTTATACCGGCCCTCCCTCATCACCAATCGTCAACCACCTACAACCACAACTTTATAGGGATGCCCTTAAAGCTGGACTCATCGTCGCAAAATTACAACAATTGGCCCGCCCTCGGGCAAGTAGAGAACAATGAGGCTGCATTAGGGTATACAAACTATGGGTATGTTCAGCAACAACCCAATGGCAACGACAGTGTTAGCCCCGCGACTAATGGGTATGACGGGTACGAAGGTTTAAGTAATAGCAACAATGACAACAATAATGGTCATATTAGCAATAATAATAATAATAGTTGGAACATTGTTGCACCAAATATGCATACAATGCAAAACCCCAAACAAAATGTATCAGTGATGCAGACACCAATTTTTGGCATAGAATGAATGATTTAGGAGAGAGAATAAGAAAAGATGTTATGTGAGGGAATCAGTGCAAAAAAATGCAGGTGAATTTGGATTAAATTATGGGTTTGAAAGTTTGAATATGAATATTTTGGTAAGACTGACAAAATTGCTTTTGACAGGAAGCTGACATTTTAGTGTTTTTTGTCTGTTATTTTACAATAGGACATAAACATTTTCACTACTTTAGTGTTTTATCGTCTTTCTCCTGTGCTTGTTCGTGGATTTTCATTCTAGGAGATTGTTGTTTTATATAAATATATATGGATAAGAATTATATTATGATATGGGTACATATCTTGTTTTATGTATATAAAGTAGATAATATGTTGTGAGCAGGTATTTGACTTTGAAATAATATGTTGTTTTCACCATGAAATGTAACTTGTATTATATAGAGTATTTAGTTTGGTATCACTTCAGATTATATACAATTATACATCATACAGAGTATCTATTGATACATCGATGTTGAGGGTACGGTATAGTCTTTAACTTATCTGAATTTATATGAAATTATACATCTAAGCTACGAGTGTATTTGAATCTATCTCATTTAGACTTTTTTTGTGACCTCTTAACATAGAAGTATTAAGTCTGTTTAAATGATAATTGAGATAAGGTATTAAGGTTAATATACATTCATGTACATTGCAGAGGAATAAAAAGTTCGGTCATGAAATATTTCAAAGAGCCCTCACAATTAAGCCGTTTTCCAATGACTTTGAAAGGAAGAACTTATCGAACACATTATATGCCCAAGATTGTGTAGCTTTCATGACTTTACTACAGACTAGTGCTTACTTTTCAACTTGATAATCACTTGATTTACTACTTACCAACTGGTGCAAACGAACTTTTTAGTTTTTACGCCTCATGAAAATGAAAATATTGATAATTATTGCAAGCACAAAGGAGCGCTGAGGATAATCCCCTCGGTGAAGCGTGCAGTGCGAGAATTCAACTCATGCCTTCATGATCTATCTCACGCGTATGACATGACACACACCGGCGTGTAAAAAGATAAGAACCCCGACATCGTGCATGCAGTGGAGGTGGGACTATAAACGGACCAACACTACTACACTAGCGCGCCTGGGTGCTCAATACATGCATTGCAGCTCTCAGGTTCTCTATTGGAGAGATAACGGGGATTTGAAGAGAAAGAAATAGGAAGCAAGGTACGTAAAAGCCTCTGAAAATCAAGAATATTAAGAGTTCTGGGTCGGTTGACTTTTGTAAGTACAGAACTATACAGAATCATCACAAACTGTACAATTTTCTATAAAGGGAAATTCACATAATGGAATCAGAAATGATGATAATTTTATAAATGAGACAAATGTTGTTAAATAATTTATCAATGGAAGAATGGCTGTTAATAATAACAATAATAATGAAGGTACAGGGGATGCAGCATGCTAGCATGCTCCCTAGAGGTCCAAAAGAATTAGTATGACCTGAGACTTTCCATTTGGGCTCAAGGTCAAAAATAATGGGTAACCCTAAAATTAGGACCCTTCATCCCGAGTTACCTATTTGCACGGTGCAGATCAATGCCAAAGCTTCAAGCAGAATCCCGGGGGAACAACAGGCAACTTCTTGCTCGAGATGATTTCCTCAAACGTATCTTGAAGCTGCTCTGCGAGGGAGGCAGGGTCATCATTGAGGGTATCGACAAAAGCCTTAACAATTCTAATTTCCTGTGAAGTAGCCCTAATGCTGTACCATGTTAAAAATTTCTGCCTGAAGCTTTTGTCAATATGGCCCTCACATTCGAGCCAACATATCATTTTAATGTAGTACTCTAAATTACTCTCAGAAGAGTCGTCTCCAACACATTCCTCCTTTTCTCGCTCCACCTTCCTTTTCTTGGATGAACGTCTTTCATTTGCCTCTTCCTTATTCAGCCTACCATCTTGATCCTTGTTATGGGATTTCAGGGGGCACTTTTTCCCACTGCCTTCTTTCGAGCTTTCTTGCCTACAAGGAGTTATCGGCAAGCTAGTTTCTGGCCTCACACAAGGTGTATTGGTCTTCTCAGGACCATTTGATCCAATGTCAATGCTCATGGCTTCACCCACTTGACCATCAGGTGAGTGTTTAATATCAACTTTCACGCCATCATATTGATCAGAAGAGTCAAATTTCCCCGTTGCATTATCCTCATCTGATGCAGAACAACGATTTTGATCATTACTGCAATTAAAATAGTTCTCGGTTTTGTTCTCGTTCAAATTACTGCAGGGTGCAATATTGTTTGTTTCATCTTCCACGGAAGACGGATTAGAAAGAGTGCTGCAGTTGGTTGCTGGGCTCTGAATTCTTTCCATTGTTGAACACTTGGCAACCTCATTGGTAGAAATACTAGTAGTTAGTCGTACTTCTGATGAGCTTAACTCTCTGGTGTTATCAAAGCAGATAGCCCTAAAAACATATTCTGTCGCTGGGGAAAGACCTGAGACTATGAACCTTGTTTGTGGAGGAAACAATGTACAAGTCGGCTGTTCTGGTCCTTTCCTGTCATTAGCCTTCCGATGCCACAATGTGTAACCCACATTCTTCTCAGATAAACTATCAGGACCCAAGATCACAGTGACAGATGTCGCATTAACAGCTTCAACTCTGATCATACAAGAAGCTATTTTTCTTGAAACTGCCAATAGAAGAAAGACGTCATTGCCTATTATGAAATCTATTATTTAGTCATCAGAATTCAACCGCAGATAAGCTTAGGAATTCACATCACCACTCATCAAAACCATAACAGAGTAACATATTGGAATATTCTTCCAAAAACAAAAAACAAAAAATAAATAAATAAATAAAATAAAAATAAAAATAAAAATTATATATCATATTGGATTACCTAGGTGCAATGGTGTTTGATGATACATTGAATCAAACAGCTCCACAGCAGAAGCACAGAGTCTCTGAACTTCTTGACCTGATGATAGTCGGTTAACAATGCCTCTACCCATCTTAACAGGAACACCAGTTAAGGCACCTACTTCTGCTTCAAGTAGTTTTATGGCATCATCAATGATATCAGAAGACTTAAAGTATTTCTTTGTTCCAGCCAGCAACTTCTGGCTCAGGGAGATACGATAACATAATATGTCAACTCGTCTAGTGTCCTTTGCAATTACTAATTGTTTTCTCCAACAGCTGATATAACAATAACAATTAGACAACTCAACTTTTACAGACTATTGTTCAGTTGTTGAGAAAATAGCAATGACAAGCAAATAACAATAAAAATTGAAACCAATACATTCTAAATGAAAATTTATTGCTGTCAAAAAGTCAATGACATAAAAGTCCTTCAGGATGATTATGACAAAATTGATCCCTTTTCAGCGGTTAAGCAATCATTTAAATGTGATCAACTATCAGCCCAAAAAAGGCTACCATGCAGCAACAATAAAGCCGATTTCTTACCATGTTAAGGCAAAATTGCAAGGAATACTATTCACCTGATAACAAATGGTGAACACATAGAAGTTTACAACATTTATCCCATAACTAAATGCCAATCTATTGCAAATTTGCAAAAATTATCAAGAATATATCGGACGAATGCATGGTGCTTTTAGTTTTTAGTCCAATCATGAGATCCTAAGATCTTAATTTCCAAATTAAAACACGAGGCAGCCATACAAAAAATTACAGTCCACAAGAACTCACAGGAGAATCAAAAAGATCTGAATTCATCAGAACTACAGGCATACAAGCAAGACTTGTCACTTCATGAGATCACCTAGCAAAATGATGGATAGAGAATTCATCCTAGAGAAGCCAGCAAAGATGCATCCAACCTTATCAAATTTGAGTTAACCACTAATAGTAGCAAGGCAACCTACTACAGCAAAGTTCAATATCTGTAGCAGCCTAGAAGGAGTGCATCATTTCGGCACAAGAGTCACATATGTTGCTCAATCTTTTATCTGTTGTTAATATATTAGTATGTCTTCTTATAAAAAGTAAGAAAAATAAATATATGAAAATGGAGCTTAAAACTAAAACTCAAGCCATAAATTGAATAGTTATTGCCAACAACACAGCTTGCTGTTTACTTAACTCCTCGACAATTCACCAAACATCTCAATTTAACCTTACCTTTGTGGGTGGTGCTACAGAACTAACAGGAGTGAAAGCTAATTCCTTCCACAACATCCTCTAGAAAACTCATGGATTAATTGCTCAACTGGATTAAGTGGTGCCTTCAAAGCATAACTTTCTTGTTCCTTATTATTTCACCAGCTTTTATTTTTAATGAATAATGCAAAAACAAATTTACTATAGCCATCAAACACCACCTCGCCACAAGTCATAACCTACATTCTTTCAATGAACCTCCACGACTCCACCAACAGGTAGTATTTACTTTTTCGCCTAGCCTGTGTCTTTCCAGCAGCCTACTTTGACTTCCTTCTAAAGCATTCTTTCTCCTGGTTGCTCATGTTCACAAATACCCCTTTATCGTCCAAATAAAGGCATAAATTAGCAGAAGTGAATTGACATCTATAGCATCAGGGAAATAACAAAAAAGTCCATTGAGTCAGCATTTAAAACTAAAGATCAAGTATCATCCATGAAAAATTCCAAATACCATGATATATATAGTGGTCAAACAATGAATATTGGGTAAGTAATCTAATAAGAAGGTAAAGTTGGCCCAATTCCTTTATACACCGTAAGCGGGGTAGACCAGATGGAACATAGTTATTATTTGGAATTACATGATATACAAAAGTGGTGGAAGTCAGAAACAAATAAAGTTGAGGACAGCATATTAGATCTATCTCAACCTACCATGCTCAAATCATCCACCACAAAATACTCTGTGACCTTCCATGATCAACAGCCCAGAGATGGCCATAACCTGAGAGCACTAAGCCTAACTATGAAAAGCTTCACGGCCTTACCCAATGTAACCTCTCAACACCCCGGCACTCTTGTAGATCTAACGCAATCTATTTTCAGTACTTTGAGTAGCAGTGGCAACAACATGACATCTTGGAAAGGTAATGCAAGAATCATTTAATATACTACAGAAAATACAAACAAACAAATTTGATTGACAACTGCATTAGTTTCACACTTTCCCTTCTTTTGTTTAACAAATTTGATTAACAACTGCATTAGTTTCATTCGATTGCACTTTTGTTTTAAGTGAGGTTCAAAAAAATGGTCCCTTTATAATCAAGCAAAACCATGTTTTGGTGTTTTGGACAGGCAGGATACTGTGTGGGAAGATGGACCATCAGCTTTCTCAGACCCAATAGAACCTATTCAATTAAGGCTTTCAAAACCCTTCAAGTAAATGCTGAAACGGGAAAATTGAATCTTTCAAGTCCAACTGATCACAGTAAGATGTGATTTGGCAATTACGAAAATGAAGCATGTCCACGGTTAAGGGGCAAGGCTAAGACCAATTAATACATCTGAACAACAATTCCGATACCCCCCACCCCCCACCCTCTCCTTTTAAGTTAGAAGGGCTGAGTGTAACAGTATTGTATGGTATGGGCAAAAATTTTGCAGAAGTCTCATAATTCCTTCAGCAAGGTCAACTGAATAATAATTTATATCAAATGTCTGAAAGCAGGACTTCTCCATCAGACAGTAAAAGCATGCCTCGGCCTGGCTATCAAATTCATCATATACGATAGCAAATCACTTAAATGTATAATTAATTTTCCTAAAGAGGAGCAGATAACAATGAAAGCAAGCCTGGGTATATAGTAGATTTTACAGTCTCAACTATACTACAATGTATGAAGATGAGAACCTTTATAAAGAAATGGTGAAGACAAAACAGATAGTAAGCATTTACCTCATCAAATCATTCATCTTCCCACAAGAAATGCAGTAAAAACTCCCATCTAATTGAGAAACAAGCCCATTTCTTGCAATGCCGGACCTGTCATGTTTGATAGCGCATTCTAGATGACATGACATGTTACATGAATCTCCTGGAAAAGGAGGCTCTGAGCTACACGTCAGCCATAAGCTAGGATCCTTGTTATCATCATATTTGTGACAGATACAGCACGTGCACCTTTTGCAAAATTTGTCCTCCTTGCTCAGTCTAGCCTTGCAAGCAGAATTTTTGCAGTACTTAGCAGTACCTAAATCACTGTCACTGTTGCATGTTGAGATATTGGTAGAAGAGACAAGAAGATGAGAAGGATTATCAGGCTTCCTTGGCTTCTTTAAACCCTTATTGACGATTGGAGGTGAAGACTGTTGTCCATGAACACCACTGTCGTGAATTACTAAATTCTTTTCAGAAACTACTTTTAGGAGGTGCTCTACGATTTTCAACTTAGTCAAACCAGTATACTTTCTCTCCTTCCCCATCTCAGAGCACAATATTTGTAAAATGTCTTGACGACTCCAAGATTGCAGCATTTCAGCAGCACCATTCGACCACTTTGCTAATTCATACACTATTTCTCTTCTCTCCTCCATACTCAACTTACTGCATTTCACTGGATCAAGCACAGCCCCTAAATCAAAGACATGTCAAACAAGGCAGAATAATCATAATTTAGGATTAGCATATTAAGCAAATAACATACAGCAAAAGTAATGTCACACTTGAAGCAGCAATAACAAAGAACCTTTACATATTGACAAATAACTTTCCAATCAAAGACTAGTCATCTATATATAGGAAGATTGACCATTCATAGTGACAATTAACCAACTACAATTAGAATAGTCATGAGGACTTTCTGTTGATTAATCCATGAAATTCCTTAAACCCTTATTGGAGTCAGTTAAAACTAGACTAGTAACACAACATCGAATTAACATCAGACGACGCCATAGCTGTACCAGCTGCAAATTAGTACAACCTAAGAAAAAGCAAAAGAACATCCAAACAAGATGGCATGACAATATAGTACAGAAAAGGTCAATCAATCTAGCAACCAGGCCTAACCTCGTTGACCTCAAGATACCAATGGTTAGGCAGTTACATAACCATGTAACAACTTGCAGACTAATTTTAAGTAGGGCCATGAACATCCTGGATGCCAGAATGATTCACCATCTTTATCAACATACAAACATAACCCAAAAGGCAATTAAAATGCAGCTTACAGCAACATCATGTATGATAGAAAAAAAAAAAAAAAAAAAAAAATTTTTTTTTTTTGCTTTATTCTTTTGTGGGGTTTTTTATTTGGGGAAAAGGGTTGAAAAAAATTTCAGTAAAAACAGTCATATTAATAAAAACAAAGAATTACCCAACAAAATAAACCCAGAAAACTCACCAGCTAGATTCACCAGGAAACTATAAACCAAAACTACATAGATCAATTAAAAATCGTATAAAAACATTACTCTAAAACCCCATCATCAAATTAATCACCACGATTAAAAGAACACAGCATTATAATCTAAAAACAAAGGTAAAAAAAAATACAAAAGTTGAATAAAATTTATTGAAAGTAGAAAGAATTAGAAAACTTACCATCAAAAGCTGAAGAATCCATAATAACAAAGCTTACAATCAACAGCTAGGTAGCAGGTCACCTCACCAAACCAACATTTATTAATTTCCTTTTCTGAACAGGGATCTAATCATATTATATAAATAAAAATTAATAAAAATGTTAATAACAATAGATAATGACATAAAAATCAAATCTTTACACAACCCACCCACAACCAAAAAAAAAAAAATTAGAAATAAATTAATCCCAGAAAAATTTGAGAAAGAAAGGTCATAAAAATGGATTCTCCATGGATTGAATAATCATAATAATAAAAATTATACGAATAAATTGATAAATTAATCTTGGGGTTTTTTTTGTTTTTTTTTTAATAAATAAATAAAAATAAAAATAGAGAAATTATGGAATTGTATAGAGAAAGTATTAAGAAACAATTCTCGTGAAGAAGGAGAGAGAGAGAGAGAATGGGGTGCGAAGAGGAATAAGAGTTGCCTCCAAATAAAAGCGGCTGCATGTCATCTTCTTTTTTTTGTTTATGTTTTTTGGGTTTTTTTTTTTTTCTGGTCACTTCCTTCGTTTGCAATAAATTCATCCGTTAATACAAAATTACAAAAGTTTAATATTTATTTTTTTTTACTATAATTTATAATGAATTTATTAAATATAAATAAATTGTAAATATGATATTTTTTCCGTTATATAAAATCTTTAATGTGAAATGATAAATTTTTAATAATTTAAATTTTAAATCATTCTTCATTGTTTTACCATATCTTTTATTTCGATAGAATCACCAACCTCGTCCACAACCAACCTACTACATCAATGAATAAATTGAACCGTGAAATGTTAGCCAAACTGAAATTGATATAATTTAAATTTTTACATTTATATAAAATAAATCAAGATATTAACCAATAAATAAAAAATTGTTGCGATATAAAATCAAATTTATGCATTGGAATTTTTTCATCATCTCCAAAAATAACCAAAGCCATTCATATATTAGGTATACAACATCTAATCGTATGCCATTACACAAACAAATAATCGTTAAGTATCCTAAATAGATACAATGTGACTCATAATTACAAATATAAATTTAAACATAAGATTTTAAAAATTACTCGAAAATTGATAAAACTAACACAAAATTCGCTTGATGGGTTTTGTATTGCTACGAAATTTTATTTGTGTCGTATGATGTGTTAAATCTGCATGTAAAAAAACATTTAGTAAATAAAACATAAACATATAATCGTGGAGTATCCGAAATTAATACAATGTAAGTAATAATTAAAAATACTAATTTAAACATAGGATTTTAAAAATTAAGCTAAAAATTACCCGCCCATTGATGACCAAAAATTAACACAAAATTCGCTTGATGGGGTTTTTTATTAATACGAAATTTTGTTTGTGTCGTATGATGTGTCAATTTATAATGGTAGGTATCACAAATTTTAATTTAATTATAATTAAGGAACAATTTGTATTTCTTATCATAAATACTATCAAAATTTATCTTATAATGATAGGTATCAAACTTTATTATAAGACTTTATCATTTAAATATTTCTTAGTATATTTTTTTGGATTTTTTATCCTCGTAGTATTGAATTAATAAATTTATCTTTTCCTATATTTTTACTTTTTTTTCATTAAAATAATTTAATTCGTGGATTATAATCTACATGACATTAAAATTTTAGATATATCATATCTAATTCGTTACTTTTATCTAGGTGGCGACATAATTTTTTAATTCAAAATAAAATACAAATCTTTTTTCTTATTGGTCGAAATAAGTATAATTCTTACGTGACACTATGCCTACTTTCTTTATATATATATATATATATATATATATATATATATATATATATATATATATATATATATATATATATATATATATATATATATATATATATTAGGTATTAGATTAGATTACCAATAAGCAAAAATTATAAAAAGTTATATTTTGAAAATATATATCGTGACAAATCTAACATGACTCCACATGACTATATTTTTCATTACGTATAAATCACAAACCCTGGTCAAAGGAAAGTGTGTGAATAGTGCTAAAGTCAAAACGTGTCGCCTAATAAAAACGGATCTAGTATTAATTTATTTTTTTTCAACATTGTTTATCTACTAATTTCTTCTGTTGTTTGTACTTTTTTTTAAATAGAAATTTGAATAGTTCATTTCAATGAAACTTAAGTGATAGTCTTGTCCTTTCAAAAAAAAAATGAGATAGTAGAATACAAATTATACTCCGTGTTGGAATAGATTGTTGTATATACCGGGTGCACCGTACACCCATGAGTATTTTGTTCTCATTTTATGATTGTTTTTTTATTTAATCATCAAATGAAAAGCAAAATCTAACCTTGGGTTAGTTGGGTGTATGGTGCACCCGGGTGTATATAACAAATTCCACCATACTAGATTACTAGGATTCTTATCTATTTTATACTTTTTTTTTTCAAGTATATGCATAAATATTTTATTTAACAAGGTACTCTCCTTGTTTTTCAATAAGTATTAACTTAAATATTTTATTCATATAAGGCGTTCTCCATGCTCTAAAATAGCTTATACAGATAAATGTGACACGATTGTAAAAATTATTGTAGAATTGGTGGTGTAAAGCTTTATATTAATACATGTTTAATAATTGTTTACATGATTATATTTATTTTTAATACAGTTTAGAGGGGAAAAAAACAAGTTAATTAAGATGTTATTCTAGAACGGATGTGTGAAAAACTTTTGAGAGGTTGTATTGCAAATCATGGATGCTTTGCTTATCTCAAGGGAAAGTACGCCCCAACATATCAACTTGAGGTTTCTAAAGAGTATTGGGGTTGTATAATTTGAACTTATACTACTTTGCCTGAATCTATTTGTAATTGTACTAAATTTATCCGAATTTAATTATTTAAATTCCCTGTAAAAAAAATTATAAAAAGACTTTTCTTTTTGAACTTATAAACTTACATTATTTGAACTAGTTTTATCTTAACTTATTTTTTATACAATAAGTTAAATTAAAACACAAGACCCTTAATTACTTTAGGTCAAAGGTAGTAAAACATAAATTTGATAGAGGTCATAGTATCATGCAGATATCATGAATATTTTGCTTATCTCAAGGAAAAGCATTATAAAACATAAATATAAATATAATGTCTTTTATTTATTTATTTATATCATAATAATCATATAAAAATAAATTTATAATGTCTACCTAAATAAATAAATAAATACAAGACATTATAAAGTTATAAAAATAAAAGTGTGCATGCGGTAATGAAATTTGTACATGAGATATGCAATATAATGTGTGTTTATAAATTTGTACTCGTACTAGCTTAAATATGTTATCACAAACCAAATGTGTTACTAATTGGACCACAACTGCACAACTATAATCTATAATGATGACAAATGTATAATTTTTAGTATATATATAATGTAAAATGCATATGGGTATTTAATTCAATCTTTCATAATAAGCAACTTTTTATTATGAGTTTATAGCTGCATAAAAAAATTCATGTTCCATAAGAAGTAAAATCACATATTGCCATACTATTTATGTATCAATTTTAAGAGTAATAAACAAAACTTACTTTTTATCAAATTTAAGAGTAGTTAGTAGTGAATCTTGATAAGTTACTATTTTAGGATAATTAATTTTATTCATCATTCTAAAATTAGAAGCATTATAAATTTATGATGCATACATTTATGAAAGAGTACAAAGTTTTTACTCATTGTTAGCTTCCAATAATAAAGAATAAAAATATTTGATTAATTGTATAGATCATAAATACTTGATAACATACATCGAACCATACATTTTCTTATCATAAATTCTTAAATTATAATTGTACTATAGTATCGTTTTGTGAGAGATATTATATACAGAGTACTAGTGTATGTCATGAGTATACATAATTTAAAGGGGTAATTCTTATGAACACTGTGCACGAATTCAGAACCTTATAACATAAGACCTCGCCTAAATACTTAAACAATTACTTATACATTTTGACTTTTTTTTCACTATTCATATATACTACTAGTATTAAATTTGAATATTCTATTTGTGTCTAAAAAAAATGAATATTCTATTAATGTATTAAAAAAAATAAATATATCGTCGTTAAATTGGTATTAATATTTTTTTCAGCCTACCAACTTTTTTTTAATAATTTTTATTAATATTTAATTACTTATATTATGGTCAAATTAATGTACCTAAAAATATGTTACTTTTTAATGTGTCAGTTAATTTTTTTATTTATTTTATTTTTTTGACTTAGAAGAAGCCCCCTCCTATCATAGGATAAAGGAATGAGGATCAAACCCCTGTCACTCGGAGGGAGGAAAGGGAGATGGAAGGATTAGCCATCCTTCCACTCCTTGATCCTCATACTGTCAGTTAGTGTAGTAATACAATTCTAAAGATTTTATTGGTATCATGTCAAAGAGCATGCAAAATATAAACAGTAGCATGCACTTATTTCCGTATCCTAATTTCCTTTTTTGAAATGAGGGCACATCTAATTCATGAAAATGGGGTTAAGCGATTATATATAACTATCTATTAAAGATACTATATTAGCTTATCATTATACACCACCTTTTGCTTTCAACTATTTTATCTGTTAACTCATTAAACTTTCTTTTGCACCTCTAAAATCACATATATTGATTGGTACTCTGTCCTCCAATCAGAGGACGACAATTCCTCGAAGAAGAATTAGTAGATTGGCACAATGAGACTCAGAGAGGGGCATTTTTGTCATTTCAACTACATACCCCACAAATAACTACCACAAGTCCACAAGAGAGATATAATAGTAAATATATACATAAACAAAGCTTTTATGTCATTAATTATATTTATTTATTTTATTTTGATTTTTTGATATGGTGAGAAAAGTAAGCTTTGTATGATCACCTCAAAAAAGGATGAATGATGGTTACTTATATAAGTATAAATAATATTCCATAATTGCTTACCATGCCAAGTATTGCCTTAATTAGTTGCAATAATATTATTAGTTGATCATGCAATATAAAATCATGAAATAAATATTTAATAGTATGCACTAGTTGTTGTGTGGAAAAAAGTGGTTGGTAGGTTCTTCATTGGAAGGGAAACATATAGTTGTGCTCTATTCTTTTGTTCTTTCCAATGTCTTAATGGGCAGGTGGAGATAGGGACTTTATACAAAATCCAAGAATAGCTAATTTCAATTACTACTCTCTTCATCCCATAATATAATTCTTATTTGTGTTTTTTTACAGTATTTAAGAAATAGGAGGAGAAATTGGATGAAACACATTAATAAAAGTGAAAAGTACAATCATAGACAAAAGTTAGAGAGACCAAGTAGAAAAAAGTACAAGACATATGCAAAATTTAAGGGTAAATTAAAAAGTACAATGAATAAAGTAAAAAAAATGAGGGTATAATGGTCTTTAAACAAAAAAATAGTAAAACAAGAACTATATTATGGGACGGAGGGAGTAATATAAACCTTCCTTTTTTCATGCTTTACTAAATGAGGTTCTTTTATTTGTATAATTGTATGATTTATATCTTATGTAGAGCCG